TGCATAATTAAGTATGATCCGAGTAATTGAAATGCTTATAACACTCTTAACGGGAGTGCATAATTCAAAGGATTTCACAAAATACCCTACTGGCGTCCCAAGTAGGTCACCTATATACCCCATCAGCGTCCTGATGGGTCCACTTAATCCCTATCGACGTCCCAGATAGATCCACTTAATCCCTGCAGGTCCACTTATACCTCACCGACGTACCGGATGAGTCCACTTGCATACTTAAATTATTTCTAAATCTCTTTAAACATTCGAAAGCAGCAATATCATGTACTCAACATATCACTGAAATCATCAATATGAATTTCACTTAAACCATTAATAACAGTCACTCTCTATAACATTTCCAAAATAACCAATCAAATATTTTGGGCTCAAATTTAGAAAGGTAGTCGTTTGTAAAGGCATTCTAGCATAATTGCCAATTTAATATGCATAGAAAAACTCTTATAGAAATTCAAGAATACAGAATTATCACAATTTATGGGATATCAATCCACAAATAAACATTTCACAACAATACTATAATCAATTGCAAAAATGTCAATAATAAGGCAGTCATTTGCACATGAATTTTACAATGTCTAAATATTCAAAACAGTAGAAAGAAATATCACAATTTTACTAAAAGCAGAAATATCACATTTATTTCTAATAATTTGATAGTATTTAAAATTTCTAACATAAATAAAATATCACAATTTTTATTAAAAAGATTATTTTTCAAGATAATGAGGTCGTGTGTGCATAAAATTTATCGCACCTAAAATTCATGATAATAAGCAGAAATAATTATTTCATTTTATTTTTAAAAAGAATGGATTATTTTTCGAGACAATGAGGTCATTTACACATAAAACTGATAAAATAAAGATCCTAGACGGAAATATCACTATTTATTAAACATAGACTATTTTTCAGGAAGACGATGTCACTTACTTATAATCACTCACGAAATTGATGCTTTTTGTGTTTGTTGGTTGGGGCACTAAAAGGCCGCCCGTTACAGTAGATCTTATGGAATCAGTATGCACAAGAGCTCAGTGATAAAAGTTTCAGTTAAAAAGACGCATCTCATGGTTATACCATAGGAAGGTGGCACATTTAATTTACTTACACGTCATAGTGGATTGTCAAGGGCCAACACGTAAGAGAAACTACAAGCCACATTATAAGATAAGAAAAGCTTAAGTCAAAAGCTTTTGAAAATAGCGATGGTCCCTAAGGACCTTCATGCTCATATGGACCATCACTTATTAAAAGTTTATTGTCCCCTTTTTTTTTTTTTTGAAAGTTTAGGATTGTTACAGATAATGTTGCACAAGAGTAAAACTTTCATGGAAGGAATTCCCTGGTATGCATGATCTAGATTCATAGAACAGAAACCCATCATGAGGGATCTTTTTCATTATACTAACAAGACCCCCATATAGGATGAAAGTATGGCTTAGTGGTGTGTTGGTCCTTAAGGCACACTTCTTAATACAATAGTTTATTTTATCTTTTTTTATTTTAATTAACTCTTTTAGGTGCAAATGTGAGACTTATTTATTAATGCAGTTAGAGTTTTATTTTCTTATTTGTAATCTTCTTTTTGGAGAATGGAATTAGGGTTATTTGGTCTTTTAAATTGTTTTTAGTTGTCTAGGGATATTTATGTCCTTTAGAGTTGTAGAGTTTTTAAGAGCAGTTTATTCCTTTATTGATTTTATTTTAATTAGGGTATTTTGGTCATTGTGTTTAAATTAAACTGTATATAAAATGAAAAGAGAGATTTATGTTTTGGAAATTTATCCACGGACTGGTTTAGTTTACTAGAATTACAGTCGAGTCTAATTTTTGGGAAATTTTACAGGAGGTGCCTCTTTTTCATTTTTCTATTCTAGTTTTGCCCCTAGTCTGATGTTGCAAACATTGGACTGGATTTACTTTTTGTTTTTGTGGTTTTTGGAGCACTCAAATGCCCCAATTATTGGAACGACCCATTTTTTGGGTGGTCCGATATTGGAAGCATCAGAACGCCCCATATGTGGCTTTTTTTTTTTTGTTTTTTCTGAATTATATTGGTCCGATGTTGGAGACTTCAGACCGAATTACAAATTCGTCAAAAAAAAATTGGGGCATTTTGACATCTGTAACATTGGACCGCGTTTATTCCCTTTTTAAACATTTCTTAACACTAGTTGATGATCCATGTGGGTGTGCTATGTATGTAGGCATTCATGCATATATGTGAGAAAGTTGCATGTAATACTCTTTATCCATGATCCACATGAATGCACTATGTATCTGAGCAAAATGCATGCAAATGCATGAATTTTGCACCCATACATAGTGCATCCACATTTATCATCAACCAATTGTTAAGAGATGAAGGGTACAAGAGGTGGTCTAATGTTAGAGATATCTAACCGCCCCATTTTTTTTTTTAATTTTTAAATTTGGTTCGATATCTCCAACATCGGGCATGTATAATTCTGGTGTAATTCAAAAGATAAATGCCAAGTATGGGACAATCCTATCTTTCTAATATTGGACCGCCCTTGAAATGGATATGTCAAATATCTGGGGCTTTAGGCTGAAAGATGTGGTCTAATATTTGCAACGTCAAACTTGGGGTAAAATTGGAATAAAGAAAAAGAAGAAAAGGGACCTCCGACTAAAGTTCCCCAAAATTTGGACCGTACAGTAATTCTGGTAAAATAAACAGGTTCATATTTAATTTAAATTTTTTTTTAGAATTTTGATAATTAAAAAAAAGAAAATTAGAAAGGCCTTTGTAATGTTTTTTATTTTTGTTGAGGGCCATAGAGAAGACTTGCTAGCACATCCCAAAGTCCCTGCCTATGGTATTCTTCAATTTCTTTCTCTTCCTTTCCCTATGCTTTCTTCCTCTCCTTTCTTCCCTTTCATTCCCCAAATTCCTTTGTCCTTGTTTTTTCCTTCTTCCCTTTTTTGTCTTTAATTTCTTTTGCGGCCTTTATCTTTTTTTCCTCTCTATCTCTTATTTTCCCTATTTTCTTCTTCCTTTATATTATTTTTTACCGTACCCTCCTAACAGAAAACACACTCCATTCAAAGAGTCCATCAATAAAAAAAAAAACAAGTGTCAAATTAACCAATACAAAACCTGCTGGAACTAAGCCTACTTTCCTCTCCAAAGTCAAACTTCTAATTTCTGCACATCATTGACCTCCAAACCGTCGAACTAGTTGTGGGAGACCCCCTGCAATTAATCTAACGCTATTTGATGCCCTCTTTTTCTCTCCTGGTAGTGCGCTAGCCTCAATTTTGATTGGGGTCAATTTTATTTTGCTGATTTTGCTTAAGGGTATATTTCAATATATTCCAGATTCAAAATCTCTTCTCTTAAGCATTAAAGCAAATTCCTAAATCACCTAGTGATTTACTCAAATTTTACTTAATTGGTTTTGTAGATGATTTCCTACTGAAATTGTAGATATTTAGTCATATTTGAGTTTAAATTATTCGCTGAACATGTTTTAGTGTCTTGTAATCAAAGATTGTTGGGTGGCTGATACAAAGAAAAAATAAAGGATCTATGATGTTTGTAGATGTGAAATCATAGATAAAAATAAAGGATGCGATACAAATTAGTAACAAAGAACTGAATACAAATGGAGAACAGCCATAAAAACAAAGGCCAGATAAGTTGTGTGTTCCTTTATTTATAACATCTATGATGGATGGAGATGTGAAATTCTATTTTGCAACATGATTCCTAGGCTGAGCCTTGTTGATCCAGTTTCTAGTGTTATTTCCGTTTTGCTTTTTGTGTGATTAAGAAGAAAGGGATTTTTCTGTTTTTTTCGTTCTTTTTATATTATTTGTTTCTCACATCAATATGTTATTTGATGATGCAGGAGAAACACTCTGAGGAGTCTTACAATTTGGCCTGCATTCTCACCCTTCCTCCATACCAAAGAAAAGGATATGGAAAATTTTTAATAGCATTTTGTGAGCTTTCAATCTTTTGCTTACCTTCACAACTTTAATTGACATTCTTTAGATGTTAGTTTATTTGTTGCCTGTTTTCTAATAGAACGTTATACAATAAGAACATTTTCCATTGGTACAAGGAGGTCACAATCACCCTTAGCCATTGGATGTAAAATCGTGTAGTTGGGGTTTTATCATTGACCGGGCTCAACGTCCTATAAGAATATTTTGAACTTTGTGACACACGACAAACTGTTGGCTTTTGCATCTTTTTGCTAGGGGTAATTATGACTTGTATCAAAGGTAAATTATCTTAAGGTACACAATGTTTTTAAGAAATTTGTGCTTATGTCCCCCTAAAGTACCATTACTGTTAAAATCCCCCCAAATTTTTTTTTTTATGTTCATCCCCTTTTCTTCCTGTCTATTTTTTACCGAAAATGCTTTCACTTCGGACCTTCAAGGTCCGAAATGAGAAAACAATTCGGAAGCCAGTTGACTTTATTGAGAGAGAGAGAGAGAGAGAGATGACTTTGGACTTTCAAGGTATGAAGTCAACAATTGTCAAAATGATTTTCGACCTTGAAGATTCGAAGTCATTTCGACAAAACTTAACTTCAGACCATGAAGGTCCGAGTCACAGTAAAAAACTATCTTTGAGTTTGGACCTTCATGGTCTGAAGTTAGTAAATAGGAAGAAAAAAAAAGCTTAACTTTGGACCTTCATGGTACAAATTCATTAAAAAAAAAACAAAAAACAAACTTGTCTTCGGACCTTGAAGTTCCAAAGTCATAATAAAGAAGTTGCTTAGAACTTTGACCTGAAATCGTTCACTTTGGTTCAAGTCTGTAGTGGGGGCATTTTGGAAAAAAACTTAAAAAGGGAAAAAGCGTACTAACATAAAATACAAAAAATGCGGCGATTTTTATAATAACAGATACTTTGGGAGACATGAGCATATATTTCTCTTTTTTTTATATATATATTTCTGGACACAGTTGTTTATATGTTAGAGAAAAGAATGTTTAATTTTGATTTGCAAATATATTATGATTTTTATATTGGGGTGTATCAATGGAATTAATTGTTACATGAGAAATTTTGGGGAGCATTCATTGGATCCTTTGTAAGTGTAACTAGGTGAATTGGACTATCTTTGCAGAAAAGTACACATGCTCCAGCAGGAGCAAACTGTATGCTCGCCCTTTCATACAAATAACTACCAAGTATTATATTTTGGAACTCAAATTTTGAAGTCACAATCTACTCAACCTATATTAGCAACCCAAAAGAAATTAATATGCACTCTAAAACTGCCTAAAAAAATCACCCCTCCCCCTCCTCCACCCTGATTGAACACAGACTGTCCCTTTATGGAGCTAGGTATTTGTGAATCAAAATATTTTTTTTGTTTTTTGGTTTCGTTTTTGGTAGTAATGCTTCTGGTGATTCTGAGGTGATTTCCCTGAATTTCTGATCAAATAAATTCTCTTTATGTGGGTGTTTTGCTCGAGGGAGCAAATGTCCAATTTGCTCCTGCAGGGTTGAGTCCTTAAAGTGGTTTTATCCATTTGTTTCTTTACGAAGTGTGATGAATTGTAAGTTGTAACCTCAAAAGGTTGTAGCAAATAAATGGTAACTGAGTCATCTATGAATGGTGCATGTGATGAGTGAAACTCCAAAGGAGATACTCACTATCATAACCTATTATTCTCATTTGCATCTGGTGGGGGATAACAGTTTATTGGATTATGGCAGGGATACATGAATTCCTATGCTAGCCAATGCCCTAGTTATCATTTGGTGTGTCATATCTAGTATAGCTATGACGTGACTTGCCACTATAGCGCACTTGGATATTATGGTTTAGTTTTGAGATTACTTTTACACAATATTTATTTATTCAGGAAAAAATTCGTACAGCATCATGTCATTTATGAGTTCCATGTACAATTCATATGTTTATATGTCATGTGTAGATCAGCATATCTCTCGTCTTTTAGTATGTACCACATATAACAACTCCTTTTTTTATAATTGAAAGAATGCTTTGTATGGTTGGACTCTTCACAATGTCTCATAAAGTCACTTTTTCAAAAGCCCAATCATTGTCCATAGAGTATAAAATACAAAAGAATTTTACAGAATTCCTGTAAACCTTGTGCAACTGATAACTAATTTTCGATATAATCTATGAGAGGACTTATAACCTCAAGCAGACATACGGTAATTTTTCAGAGGATCTAAGCATTGGCATGACCAACAGAACACCGGGTTTTGAAATGGATTGCATGAGAAATCTCCTTTCCAATGCCTTAGCTGCCACTAGAGTCACATTCTTCTTTCCACCCAGGATATGACAGCTGTACTCTTGTAAGTACAGCCTTTGGAAGGAAGTATATAGTGGCATGTAACTGTTGGACACCCTATTACATTTTAGTTCAACATGAGCAGTAGCAGAAAATCTTCTAGGAGCTTTCGAGTTTCATGTAATGTTTTCTCAGGTGACATTAAAGAGCTTGAAATTGCACTAGTTTTTTAGTTGAAAACAGATTTTTTTTTTTTCCTTTTTTTATTCTTATGAGAGTATTTATTATTTTATAACTTAGGGTCTTTTTGGTTTCTCTTGGGAATTAGCATTTGTGTTATCATTCATTTACGGCATAATGTAGCAGGACCAAATCGAATTTATTATCCTGTAGACTATATTCCTTTTAGTCTACGTGAATTAAGGAACATTGATTGGTCTAGAGCAGGATCCAAAAATATGGCTTGGTTGTGGAACTTTGGCCCCAGTAGTCTGAGTGACTCGGGCGCACCCAAGTTGGTTTGCCCAAGATTTCACTGAGCCGAACAAAGAAAATTGGGAAAAATCCTAAAAAATAAGTAGAAAATAGAAAAAAAAACAGAAAAAATGATAAACAACATAAAAAGTATATAGAAGGTAAGAGGAAATGAAAATATAGAAGATTGGTTTAAAGACTATTTCTCAAAAAAGAGAAAATAAAAAAATCATTAAAAAAAAAATATTGCCTCAAAGATTAAATCAAGTATATCTGTTAAAATTAACTACAAATCAATTATATATAACCCCTTGGGGGTGTTCCAGGCTTGGCATGCTGAGTCAGATTCACTCGGGCAGGTCCGAGGCAACTCGCCTGAGTTGGCTCTTGAGTATTAGTTTTGGACTTAAGAAAACGTATGAGCATTTATTTAACATTTGTTTTTTTGAAGCTTTTAGCATTGTGATTCTAGCTTAGACTGTACCTGTTTCTTGTATAGGTCTTGTGATTTCTTTCCTGTGATTCATATTATGAAAGTATCTAATGTTTGAAATTGATTTTGTGAACCAGCATATGAACTATCGAAGAAGGAAGGAAAGGTTGGAACACCTGAACGGCCACTGTCTGACCTTGGGTTGTTGAGTTACAGGGGTTACTGGACAAGGGTTCTCCTAGACATTCTGAAAAAGCACAAGAGTAACATTTCCATTAAGGTACATATACTACACAAACATGGATATGTAATGCATATCAATTTTTCATATTTTGTGATATTTTATTGTTCCTTGTGGTTGAAAATTGACTTCTATTGGAGAGGAAAGGAGACATATGTGAGGTATGTTGCAATCAAATCTTCAAGTAGGTCAATCTTGAAAATTACAAGTATGACATGATGCCCCACTCCCGAAATCCATCTCTAGTCACTCGAGTTTTAGCTTAGGGGTCAGTTTGCTGAAAGATCATCATAGCACAGTTTGCTGAAAGATCTTCATAGCACAGTTAGCTTAGGGGTCAGTTTGCTGAAAGATCTTCATAGCGTAGGGGTCAGTTTGCTGAAAGATCTTCATAGTCAGTTTTAGCTTAGGGGTCAGTTTGATCTCTACCGGATTGGGCCTTCCCTACTGATTCAACAAATGGAGTCCAAAGAATCCCCATTCACAGGGAGGGAACCAAAGAATAAATCCCAAAAAATGCTTATAATATTGAGAGGGAAACCTAACAATGGAGTCAAGTGCTTCAACCCTTCACCACATCAAATCATCCCTTATAAGCCCTAAGACGACGTGGCCTGGTTCCCCCTACAAACTGCACTCATAATTCAACTTAAAATCCTACCTTAGGACAACACCTCAAGAGTTTCCATACACTCCAATGCCTGCTATTTTATGCAGTCACACTTGAGACCACTGAACACACCTTTGGCCCTATTTGGAATATCTGTTTTCCATTGTTTCTTCCGTCAAAGAAATGGGTATCATATTTGCTAGAGATATATAGCAGCTGGAATGTTTGGCATGTTAGCCTTAGTGGCTTTTGGGAGATCGTTTAAATATGACATAGAAGAGAACACTTAAAGTTACAGAAGAGAAAAAGATAAAAATTTGAACACACTCTATCCATCTAATTCCATAGTTACCTAATCTTAGTCTCCATCTTGTATTCCAAGAAACCCTGTGTTACGTGTGATATTGCTTGCAATTCCTTTTCTTCTCTGTGTTAAATTTAAACACCGAGGGCCAAAATAAGAGATTTGCAGGGCATATCTCTTATGCCCATCAAAATTTGCCCATCAAAATTTGCTTATCAGGGAGAAACATTGTCACTGAAAAGGCTAAAAACTAAGATGAACTTTAACAAAAATAATCTTATAAAAGGAAGCCACCAGACTAATTAATGGTTATGAAGTCCTAGTTGCTTTCAAGACCACGCCTTTGAAATAAGCACATCGACATGGCATATGGGTCTCTATGATAAATTCCCAAGAATTTCCACTGGGTCCTCTTTAAGTACCTTGTATGACTCTTATTTCTGATAAAAAGCAGAAATGAAGTCCTTCGAAATAAGCACATCGACATGGCATATGGGGGTCTCTATGATAAATTCCCGAGAATTTGCACTGGGTCCTCTTTAGGTACCTTGCATCACTCCAAACTTATCTCTGATAAAAAGCAGAAATGAAGTCCCCCCTGATTCCCTATTTATCTCCCTATTCAACTCTCTCAACTTCTCTAAAAAAAGTAACCTCTCAACTTCTCATACAACCCTCCCTCCCCCCCAAGCTTTGCCATGCCCAGCCCTCCACTTGACAAAATGATCATTGCTTACCCGCCATGTCCTTAGTAGTCGTGTGAATGCAACATGACCTATTACCCTATATTAAGGTTTGAAAATACACTGATCCAGATCGAAATTGCCCAATCCGGATCAATAATCAATGGGGATGAATCCCCCCCGCCCCCCCCCCCCCCTTCGACACAGCCGATTGCAGCCGATTCTCTATCAGAACCAGCCCCATTTTTTAAAAACATATTTTTGAGTGTTTTTAATTTTTTAATGACAGGTTCGGTAGACCTGATTGCCTATCCGCCAAACCGGAAATCCAGATGCGTGATCCGGGCCACCGATCTTTTTTTAAAGAGTTTAAATCTTTCTCATATTTTGGGACATGCTTTACAGAAAATGTTCAATATGTTTTAAACAATGAAAGCAAATGTTGAAACTGCACTATGGGGTCACATTTATGTGTGGTGTTTTAGAATCATCTGCTATAAATATTGAACTGAAGGAATTTTCAAAATCAATTTACTCATATACAGCTATACTCTTGATAAATCAGTTGTATGGACTCTTATTAATGTTTGAAATAATTCCCGTGTTCCCTCCATTGTAAGAAAGCATTTGGGTTTGGAAGTCATCCCATTCTCAGAGGCAAAAGAGAGAATATCTATTAGGGTTCTTTAATAATATACTCAGGCATATATTGGGATATTATTTCGTATGCTGAATTGTATTGTTCTTTCTTTCCTTAGGAACTTAGTGATATGACCGCTATTAAGGCAGATGATATATTGAGCACCCTACAAAACTTGGAGCTGATTCAGTACAGGAAAGGGCAGCATGCAATTTGCGCAGATCCTAAGGTCTTGGATCGCCACCTAAAGGCTGCAGGCCGTGGTGGTCTCGAGGTCGATGTGAGCAAGTTGATTTGGACTCCTTACAAGGAACAAAGTTGAGAATCCCTTATCTTTTTCGCCGAAAATTGGTTTGTGTAAACAGTGTAAAGTTTACCCGAGTATTCTCACTTGTGTATATATGTATTAGAATTTGATAGAAGGGATCATCTTTTATGGGTTATGATATGATCAGTTGAAATGGCAAGCTCTTTCGATCCAAATCTCTCTTTCTTTTTCTTCAACTCGGCCATGCCTTAGAAATAATACTAAAGCGTACAAATTCTTTTTTCGAGCCACATACTGCATGGCGCACATATAAAGCACATGTGAATTGTTATTCTCAGCCATCAGATTTAAATGAACAATAGGTTAGCTTTAGGCACAACGTCATGTTTAATGCGGTTTTGTTTTTAATTATTTCCTTATAAATCATGGTCACATGAAATTTGGGATGTACCCACCCTTGTGGCGGTAAATTCAAAAACAAAAATTACCTATAAAATAAAAAGATCAAAATACCCTTACAAGTTATATGGATCATTCTTATCAGAAATATTTTTTCGTTATTAGATATACCACTCTGAGAAGAGAAAACGTTTTGAAATTACTTGATTTCTAAACAAAATAAAAATCAAATGCTTTAAGCCGTTCAATCAAAGTCAAATGCAAAAACTAACTTGTAACGTTGTGATTGAAGCTATAACAATTTTTCATTGCGATCGGATGGTTGAGAAATGATGTCATATATATTCTTAATCATACGTAGGCGGTGCACACAAAGATTATTTCTTGAATATATTTCCTTACATTTTCTTTTAGTATAATTGCTTATTTTTCTTGAAAAGGTTTATTGCGACCTTAAATTTGCAGTATTAAGGTGTACCTAAAAAATTTATCATAAAAGACTATTTTGAAGTTGAAAAACACTTTGATTGATCATCTCGACATCAAGATGTATAAATATGGAGAAAAAAAAATTGAGTCTAAAAAATAATGCATTTTGTAACATATTATGGAGGTCTATTTTCAAGATTTTTATGTGATTATAGATTACTTGATTTAAACCATTTTTTGAGTGTAAGACTTTATAATTAGATATGAAGATAAATTCCCAGGTCATCCTAAAAATTTTCCAAACTACGCTATGATCTGGTTTTTGTATACAAGGGATGGGAAGGAGTAGAATTTGTTCATTTTCTCAAAGTATGTTAAAAAATTTCATCTTAATTCGAGCTGACAAATAGTACACATCAAACCTTCATTGTTGTCACTATGCCATGCAATAGACTACATCGACCCAGACTTGGTCTTTTAGTAGGGCCGGCCTCGGTTTTTCTCTTCTCTTTTCTTTCCTTTTCCTTTTTTTTTTTTACAAGAATCACAATTTCCTCATTCATATTAATCTTCAAATTCAGACCCCGGCCAAAACGCAACCCTGCAAGACAAATACTGCAAGATAAGTACGTTGGCCCAACTCTAGTCTTGGCCTTGTTGGGTGAGCGTAGCATGGCCTTCTGGCCCATTGCGAGGCCTAGTTGTCATCAGATGGTTGAAGAGGTACTAGAGATAAGAAACCAAATAGCACTATAGCATACGAACCTTTTAAAAAATGGGATTGTATACTATGATAGGATTTATTATTATTATTATAAGGAGTTCATAATCACTCTTAAGCATTAGATGTCAAATTGGATAGCTTGGGATGTATCATTAAGTTCAAGAAATTTTTTTTTTAGAACTTTAGATTTAGTCAACGACACATTTGCAATGAGCTAATTTGAAATTTGGCAGACAGGAGCGATTGTGACATCCTTGTACTAAACAGGTCCGTTCCGACTAGATCCAGACCCAAATAGTATTCAGGTCCAAAATTTAGACTCATATCCGGATCTATTGGGTCTGGGGTCTACCCATCAGGACTCGGGACTGGTTGGATCTATTGCTACCTTATGACTATGAGCTTCTTTTTTTTTTTTTTTGCTATTTTTTTACCATCATATACCCTATGACTTTAAGCTTCTCTTTTCGCCAATAATACTATAAATGTTGCCCATATTGTAACAATATGAACACCTAGTGGATGCCTAAAGATACATCATTTCCATCATATACCCTATAACTTGTGAAACTTTTGCTTATTCTTTGGTACAATATTGGGTACACTATTTTTCTTCTTCTTATGTGTACCCATATTAGGAATATGGTTCATTGCATATGGTACTTTTTTTATTAGCACATATCTTTGTAACCCTATAAATTAAGGATTTTGTTAACATCTATGATAAGATCAATAATACATCTTTTATTGGAGCTTAAAACCCAAATATACAGAAATGCAATTTCTAACATGGTATCAGAGCAAGGTTATCGAAACGTCTTGCATTTACTGCTACTAACCTGAATCAGTTATCGCTTGAGATCGATCATCAACTCCGATCACCTTTTTCTATAAGATTGCAATTCCTTCTTTCTAATTGCCGCACTATTTTTTGAGGATCGCCTCACTACTTCTACCCTTGATTTGGTAAAACTCTCTCTCTCTCTCTCTCTCTCTTTTTATTCCCTTTTGTTTACCATTCATGAACTCGTTCCATATAGAACTCATCGTACATATAACTGCCCTGTTCAAATATTTTGCAAAGATAATTGCAAACCCCTTGTGTTTTGCCTCTACACTTTGCATTAGCACCTTTTCTTTCAAACCGTTTTGCCTCCTAAACTTTGCATTAACACCTTCTCTCTCTAGAAATATCTCTCGTGCTCACAGTGCTCCCTTCTCTTTTTTCGTCCTCTAGTCAATTTACACAAGCTTTCTCATTCAGCTTCCTACCGATTAGATCAAGTCTGAGTTTTGATCTGGGATCAAGTTTCTTAATCACATCTCGGGGTGATCATACAATTTGTACATGGCCTTTGAAAACGGTCGATCTGCACCATCTACAAAATAGCTACCGAGTCTTGTTTCAACTTTGTGATATGTCTCTCTGTCGAGACGTGTTTCGATTCTCTGATCTGTTTTGGATCTTATTGTTCTCAACTCCGAATCTAAGGTCCAATTATACTTGTTGATCTTTCGCTGATTTCTGTTGGCTCTTTCAAGTGCCTCATGTTTGATGATCGAATTTCTCGATCCTAGTTGATGATCAAGTTTCCGTTACTTGTTTATGTTTAATTATTGAGTTTTCTGTTACTCAATCCTATGTGAAGATCGAGTTTTTTTCGTTACTCGATTATGTATGTTCTGGAGGCATGTTGATTTGTTGTTATGGGAGACCGCTCTGTTTGAGGCATCGGTTTTTGTGGATCACTAATTTGCATATGGCTCTTGCTTTGTTACTAAGGCCTGCCTTTAGTTGTCCAAAGGCAGGTTGATTTATCTTAATTCATCTTGAGTTTGAGAGGGAAGTGTGAAAATTATAGGAACTTTCACTTATTTTTTGGTACGCTAGGTGTAATATTTTTCTTCTTCTTATGCGTACCCATATTAAAAAGGTGATTCATTGTATATATTACTTTTTTTGTAACCCTATAAATTGGGACTCGAGTTCACATCCATGATAAGATCAATAGTACATCTTTTATGGGGGCTTAAAGTCCAAATATACAGAAATGCAGTTTCTAACCCGGATCCAAGGTCAGATCGACCCATTGGATCCCAAGTCTGGTCAGGTCCATTGCCACCACTAACTAAAAGTAAATAGTTTATTTATATACTTTTCCTTAAAAAATACTTCAGCTAACGTGCCTTTTTTTTATGTTGATAATCAACAGCTTAGTAATCAAATTTGATTTTTCTCTTTCCTTACATGAGAATTGCTCTCGTGCAAATGCTCTTTTAAAAGTTTGAAACAATCTCAAGAAACTCGTAGGGGTGAGATAAGGCCCTTTCTTTGAGGCTCCAGCCTGCCATTGTTGACTTGTCATCTTTGCAAGGTTCTCGCTCTCTCTTCTTTGCAAGGTTCTCTTTCTCTCTCTCTAGAAAACCGGTTCTTACTTCTATTTCCCAGTAATAGAATTCATTCAATATGAAGTGGAAAAGTCAGGGAAGCTTCACCTTATTAATATCACTTCCAATAGGTGAAATTTAAATATTCTTTTGATATTCATGAAAGCTACTTATCATAGACTCAGGCAAGAACCTTTATTATAGTCAAATTGAAATCTATAAATGAATGTTCATAGTTTCCCACACGTGGTCCTTCAAAAGTGAAGACACTTATTTCTTAACTTTAAAACATATCTACATGCATTTATTGCCTTCTCTTTATCAAGCCCAATACACCCCAAAATTCTTTTTAAATAGTTTTAAATTACCTCATTTCCTGGAGGGTGTCACCTCAAGGGCACTTTTAGTATAATTATCAATTACTATTAATAAAAATAAAAAAGATAACCATTTAGTTCTATAATGTGGTCAACCTAATATTTCATTTTATATTCCATTTTAATGCAAACCCTACCAATGACCCTGTGGCTCTAAGTTACAATAAAAAAACACCATGAAGCCCAAAGTGAAATCTCATGATGTCATCCTCATAGGCTTCACCAAAAAAGGAGGACAATAGTGAGTTCAGTGACATGAAACCGATTTTAATGATATATGGTTTTTTTTAGAACTTTTCTTTGAAAATGCCTAAATCAATACTATTTGGCTATTGGTAAGAGATAAGTAAATTGATAGGTATTTTTGGAGTTTTGCTAGAACACTCTAATCAATAAAAGGTCAACCACATAGGAAGAGTAGTGAAAATACTTCACCCAATTTTTTATGACCATGAAGCATAGTCCATGCATACTATTCATAAACTTGGACTTTTCAATCTTTGTTGTTTAAACATAGGAAGTCTGATTCCAACCATTGATGATGATCATGTACTTCATGTCAAAAGATTTCCTACTTCTATTAGACTATACTATCCATTTACTCCCTTGAGCAAAACTTACTACAGGGATGTCTTTTTTATCTCAAAATTCAGGGATGTGATATCTAGAATTCGGCATACGATCGCCAAGAAAAAAGATTTTAACTCCTACTCTCCATGTGCCTAAAAAAAAAAAAAATCTCATCCGAACGTTGCACCCCATCTAATTTTTGGAAAGAATGATATAGATGTTTATGAAGTTAAAAAAATTCTCTTCGAAAATAATCATCTAGTTATAATTAGATGGATGCCGAAACGTTATAGAAATAATAATAAAACTCCCAAATTAGTGTTTTTCC